TGTATCTCATTCAATGTCTATTATAGAGTACCAGCATTTCAAAAGTTGCACAAGACTTCTGCATACGAATCTACAGAGTGAAGTTTCAGAAGTTCTTTGGAAACAGAGAAACTCAGTATTGTATATATGTCAGCTCTCCAAAATTATTTGCAGATTCAGAACAACCCCAATAAAAAATTATGGCAAGATTTCTTACGGAAATTAAAACTGATCCAATAAGTTATACGGAAATGCAAAGGACCAACACAGAATAACAATCTCTAAAATGATGGCTGACAACAGGGTCTTACTGAGCACTTGGAACAGCTAGATCTTTCTCACACTGCTTTTGGAAACCTAAGTTGACACATCCACTATAAAACGATGTTTGACAGTATTTTCTACAGTTGAATATACACATACCCTATGATCCAGCAAGTTTCTTGAGAATAACTTCAAAGAAAGGTGTAAATATGAGCACTGAAAGACACACAAGAATGTTCAACAGCAAAACATGATCTACAGCAGTTATAGGGTGGAAACAATCCAAACGTCCCTTTGTAGGACACTAGATAAAAGGAACACTGGTATATTTATACAGTGGAGCCCCACCCACACGGCAATGGAAGTGGAGAAAATCCTGCTACACAAGTATGGATGACTCTCAAAGATGCGAATGACTGCAACAAGATACTATACTGTATTATGTATCATTATGCTTTTTATTTAGCAATTTTAGACTTTTAGATAAAGTTCAAAATACAGGTATATCCAGCCTTTGTTAGAAGCTAAAAAATACAGATACTTTCAGGGCACAGGGAATGGATAGTGATGGGTGGAGATGTGAAGTGGTCTTTTGGGGACCTAGAAATGTCCTATTTCTTGAGTAGTTTACAAGTATGTTCACTCTGTGATGCTTTCTTGAGTCATACACTCAAGACATGTCGACTTTAATGTATGTCACACTTCAACCTCGAAGGAAGCAATATGCAGAGAAGACTTTATGTAAACCCTTGGTCCTTATCATTTTTATCGCCATAATGAAGCAATCACCACCATGTTGAAAATTCAAAGGATTCTTTCTGAAAGAAAGCAAGCCTTAAAATTCTTTACTTTTTAACTCGCACAAGACTTCTATATTTATTGATTGACTATAAGTTTAAAAATCATAATTATAATAGGGTGGAATCATATAGCATCGCCATTTTATAGGTCAAACAGTCATATATTACAACTGCTTTTACTCAGTTTAGCCAATATTGTTTTAAGACTGTTTCACTGCTATGATTATAAAACACAATCAAAATGATCCCATCAGCAGTTACATGTTATAATACTATTGAGAAAAGAACTCTTGGAAGATGCTTTCTGAAGGGGAGGAGAAAGGGAAGAGGGATTAGAAGCATTTACAAAAACCCAAGGTTATGGTTAACACCTGAAAAGGTAACAGCAGATTGACTGAGGAGACAATCAGTCTTAGAGCTGGAGGCCAGTCCTATCTGCAGGCAAATACAGCTAGTCATACCTGCATTTCTTCCCAGTCCTAGCTGTGGTCCCCCCAGGCAATAGCCCTCCAGCCAGCAAATCCCTTGGACAGTCTAGGCTCTGTGCTTTCAGTTTAGGACCTCTAAGTATCACATGCTTTAAGAAGATCTTTCAACGTTAATTCCCATAGCTTTTTTTCAAAGGCATCTATAACAAAAAGCTGCAGAAATTTTGCAGAGCAAATCATCTATTTTACCAATAAGTGTTCCTGAATAAAAACTCACGAGAAAAATTCTATCCAAGGGAAAAACCATCTTCTGGATGAACTGGTATGTACCTCCTTTTTCATTGGGAAACAGCTAAAACTGAAGTCCAATTATAGCAACTCTAGTAACATCTATGTTTAGCAAACTTTCATTTTATGATTTTATTTTACTGGCCTGGCTTATTTTACTGATCATATCTTATCATCTGTTGAAAATTTTCTAGGAAAAGGAATGTAAATAAATCTAATTCATGCCAAACTCAGTATTATACAACCTTTTTGAATACATTTTTTTTATAAGTTAGGAATTGTTAAATTATCATTTTACCTTTGGAGATAAAAATGTAGTCAGCAAACCAAAACCCAGCACTTCTTTGAGCTGTAATGAGATCTCCCAGATGAACTCAGTTCTTCAGTACCAACTGGTTAGAACAGATTTCTTTAAACTTGCTAAATAACTTGAGATTTCTTTAAAAGTGTTAAATTTTAAACAGGGGTCTCAGAGACTAAGAGTCCTTTATATAGCTTATAATGACATATTTCAAAAAAGATAGGAATGTATGGTTTAAAATATAAAAATGCTTTAAAAAATTTTAAACTCAACTTGAAGTGGGGTAGGGTAGATGATGTAATCCAAAGTACTTCTACTTCTACGTCACACACACACAGACACACACACGTGTAGCTAAAATCTTAGCTGTTAACACGGCAGAGTCCATACTGGATTCTGCATACTGAAGACCACTGAACACTCAATGAATAGTTTCCTCAATGTCTGGATTCTGTTATATAGCTTCTGTATTATTTGTAATCCATATTTTTGTATTTCACATTTAAAAAAAAAACGGGCTAACTTAAACAAGCTTAAACTGACAAGGGATAGTTTTTAGTAAGCAAATAAATTTTGGGGGGGAAAGAAGAAAGAAATATGCTGGCTTTCTAAAGAAAAATTGGAAAAATGCGATTTTCTAACTGAATAGAAATACAGATTAATGTGATTACAACAATTCCTGGTTTCCAACTTCGGATGGATTATCACCACTTGACAGGTAACTTTTTAAATGATTAAATTTTACTTTTAATTTAATATTTTTCTGAAGTGTAGTTGATATACAGTATAATATTGGCTTCAGGTATACATTCTAGTGATTTGACAATTACACACATACGGAAATGCTCACTATGATTAAGTACAGTTACTATCTGCAACCATACAAAGTTATTACAATATTGTTGATGCAGGCAACTTTTTATTTTGCTTTTCATTCTCCCTTCAGCAGCTATTCTGAAATTTCTGCCCATCTCTTTAAGCCACCTATCCAATCCCTCTCTTGTCCACAGGAAAACTTTTGCTGTTCTACAGATCAAATCTTCTTTTTTATTGATACAGTTTTAGTGAGTAAGTTTGAGTATATTTTATGTACATCATACATGAGAAACTATAGTATGGAAAGGAGATTCATCTTAAACAAGCCTGTCAGATTACATTCACCATGTAATCTGACAGGCTTACATGGTGAATATATTTATTTATTATTTTACTTATTTACTTACTTATGTATTTATTTACTTACTTATTTAATTAAGTTTTCTTTTTTTCTTTTGGTATCATTAATATACAATCACATGAGCAACATTGTGGTTACTAGACTCCCCCCCTTTATCAGGTCTCCACCACATACCCCATTACAGTCACTGTCCATCAGTGTAGTAAGATGCTACAGAGTCACTACTTGTCTTCTCTGTGCTGTACTGCCTACAGCTGAAATCTTACCTGTAGTCATGTCTACTCTTCTTTCTTCCATCAACTCTTCAGCAGATGAGGTGCATGCCCTCTGATCTCTTTTCTCCCAGACTTCCCAGGACATTGCTCTAAAACTGTGTTTCCCTTTTCTGCATGTTCTATCTCCTCCCTACTTACCAGCTGAAAAACACAGTTTAGTCATCCCCATTTTTTGATGCACATCTGGTCAACAAGCTTCTCTTCTTTCTCAGCCAAGACTAGTTCACGCTGGTTGTTTGCACCCCTTCACCGCTCCACTGACTATTGTCTTGTTTCTCTCGTTCCCACTCCCTCAATGAAGGTCAGTGACGTCTTCCTAAAGGATCAAAGGATGCTTCTTGGTCCTTATTTCACAAGACTGGTGTGTGTGTAGCATTTGACACAGCTAATGCTTTTCTCTCCTGCTTTCCTAATCTTGCCCCTGGTGCTCTCACGCTAACCATGTCTTCAAGGTCCTGTCTGCCCATCACGTAGACATCTGGTTTCCTTTAATATTCTATCTTTAAATATCCTTCATTTATACCCTCATCCTTAAGTGATTTACTTCACTCTATTTAACAACCTGTTATTATAATTCAGTAACAATATTGGCGTTATTATTAAGCCTGTACATTCTAATCGATATCTCTTGCCCTGATATGTTTTCTTGCTCTGCAGAACCCTGTATCTAATTTCTGCTCTTTCAACAACAGGAATATCCTACCCACCTTTCAAACTCAGAATGTCCAAACCTCTGTATTCCTACGTAAACCTGTTTATTTCTTTAATTCCTCATCTCAAATATGATCTGAATGTTGGAGAGAAGACCTTCTCCTCCCATTTTCTAGTCCCCTACCCAGCTTATCAAATCCTAAGTCCCTGCCTCCTTACCTTCCATTGCCTGTCTTCTCTCCCTTTCTGATGCCATAGTTTAAAATCCTTGCCCCATTTTCAATTGTACAGGAATCCATGCCTGATCTCCCCTCTTCCAATTTATCCTCCACATGCTGCAGGTTTATCTTTTTAATACACAGATTTGTCCAGCTTGTTCCCTTTCACAAACCCTTAATGGGGCACACCATGCCTACAAGAGGTGGTGCACGATGTACGGCCGATCTACGTTCTTCACCTGCCCGAGCTGCCCACCCCTAACCATCTCATAATCAATTCCCTAGCAGCACTGGAATTGTTCCCTCAAGAGACCCAAAGGCATTTGATTTTGCTGTTTACTCCACTTAGAATGTAACCCACCCCTGCTTTTCCTCAACATCCTTCAAAATCCAAAACAGAATCATCTCCTCTGAGCAGCGACCCACCCTCAGATCCTGGGCGAGAGGAATCACTTCCTCCTCTGTACCATCGCACACTCCACACCCTTCTCTCACTGTCCCCAGCACCTGCCCCGGAGGGATTGGTCACCCATCTTTGGAGATTTTGGTCACTTGGGTTTGGACTGTGTAAATGTTCTCATGCTTATTTAATTGTTTAACAGAAATGATCTCTTTTTAGCTCCATTCCCCTCAACTGGATGGATGAAGAGCCGTCGGAGGCTCACAAGAACCCAGTACATGGATTGGAAAAATACCAAAACAGAGATTCTTGATCTTAGAGATGAAGAATTTTGAAGTGACACAGACCTGGGTTTAAAATCTGGCTCTGCTACTTACAAGTTCAGTGAACTTGAAACAAAGAACTGCTTTGAACATGTTTTCCTATTTCTGAAATGGTGACATTAATGCCTTTCCCATAGATTTTTGTGAGAATTATATGAGAAAATAGGCACTCAGTAACTGCTAACATAGTATATGTAATGTCTGGTGAATGTATGAATATATCAGTCATGCAACATTTCAAAAGTTGTAAATACTTAAGGTTAAAACCTGCAATTACAAATTTTCAAAGCCTACCTACCAGCATATTTACTTCACACTAATATTTTAACAGGCACCTTTTATTTTTCTTAAAACCAAAACTGAATTTTCTCTTCTGATTTTCATTGATGGCTACCCTATACTTAAGATCTTTATAATCCTTATAATAATGGAAAGAAGTGTGAAATCACTAATTTAATCTATTTTCTCAAACTCAAACATAACGGAGTTTCAATTATTCCTTCAACCTCACTACCCAGTATCTGATGTTTCAAAATACAATCTTAAAGAAGTGACTAAAGACAGACTGAGCTAACCGGACATTACAAAATTAGAAAATATAAATTCAATAATGAAAAAGCCATTAAGTCAAGATAGCCATTACTCAATAGCATTTGGTAAAAACTGAACACATAAAAATTAAAAGCCACCAAAATATCAATATTAAAACAGACATTTTTCCCCTCCTTTTTACCTGTTCATGCCAACATTTTCTACAATAAACACATATTACTTTTTACAATAAAAATTTTAAAGAAAAAAAACCTTTTGACAGTACTCCAAAATACACTGTCAAGTGAAAAGGTGGAATTATGACACTAGATTTCATATGATCCCAGTTATGGAAGAAAAATGTGTATACAAGGGCCATAGATAATGGGGGAAAAACTAGAGGGCAATATGCAATAAAGTTCTTTGTTTCTCTGGTGAAATTACCAGTAGTTTTTATGGCCTTATTTATAGTATTATGTATTCTCCAATTTCTTTATAATGATCTAGTTATTCCTTTTTAAAATAACTGCTTTTTTAACTCATGTACCATAAAACCCAAGTGCTTAAAGTGTATGATTCAATTGTTTTTATCATCCACAGAATTGTGCACCCATCACCACAATCAATTTTAGAACATTTTCATCACCCAAAAACACCACCTGAGCCCATTAGCAGTCACTCCTCATTATGGCCTCTCCCCAGCCCCTGCCAACCTCCAATCTACAATCTATTATTATGTCTCTGTGGATCTGTCTATTCTGGACATGTCAGATCCATGGAGTCATATATGTGGTCCTCTGTGAATGACTCCTTTTATGTAGTATAATGTGTTCAAGGTTCATTCACACTGTGGCATGCATCAGTACTTCATTTCCTCCCCTCACAGATATTCCATTGTATGGACAACGCATTTCATTTATCCATTTGAATTGTGTTCACTTTTTGGCTATTATGAGAAATGCTGCCAGTTCATGTGCATGTTTTTTGTGCACACGTTTGCAGATCTCTTGGATACATACCCAGGAGTGGAACTGCCTGATCATTTCATAACTGTTTAAGTTAAGGAACTATCAAAGTGTTTCCCAAAGTAGCTGCATCTTTTTGCATTCCCACCAGCAGAGGAGGAGAGCTGTAATTTTTCCACATCATTGCCAACATGTGTTATTGCCCTTTTTGATTATAGCGATTCTAGAGGGTTTGAAGTGATAGCTCATTATGGATCTGATTTGCATTTCTGATGGCTAATGGTGTTAGCAAAGAAAAATAAGTACTTGAAAAGACACTTAGCGTGTTTATTCAGATCTTTTGCCCATTTTTAAATTGGGTTGTCTTTTTATTATTGAGTTGGTGGAGTTTTTATTTAAAAAACATATTCTAGATACAAGTCTCTTATCAGATACACGATTTACAGAATTTTTTAATATTACATTTATAAAGAGGAAAGAGCAATCTATCTCTTCAAGAAATGCAATTAGCAAATGCTGTGTTCGTGGGGCATAATATGATCATGACAATTATGAAACAACTTAAAATGTGAGCAGCATTTTGTAGTTTTTGACCTAATTCTCATACGGACCAGTAATGATAGACCTGTTTCTGAGGTCAAGCACTGGGGCCTCTGCAAAGGTAGAGTGATTTTTTCTAAGTCTCTCCTCACTTCATTATTTTTCTATGACTGTTTTTCTATGCTTCATCTTTCTTGTTTTAAATTAACGTTCTCTCCTGAAGTTGTTTTCAAATTTGTAAGCAAACTGTTTTAAATTCTTTTTAGAACATGGCAGGTACGTTTACACAGAAAGCTCTCGAAGTCTCACAGCTAACCAAGCAGGATTAATAATACCCAGTTCTCTGAGTACCTGGTACAGGCTTTTCTCTGCTGTGAGCTTATCTGTACACAGTCTAACAGTGTGATACGTCTGATAGAAGGAACTTTCTTGCTGGACAGAGATTTGTGAAAATTGACATGACAGGTGGAAAGTGAGTGAACCTACTGTGGGGTACCATTCATTTCCCGTAAGTATTTTAACAAATTACCACAACACTGGTAGCTTCAAACAACAGTACTTTATTTTCTCACAGTTATGGAAGCCAGAAATCACACTGAAATCAGTTTCACTGGATTGAAATCAAGGTTCCCAAGGGCCTGATCCCTTGGGAGATTCTAGAGGAAACCATTTCCTTGCCTCTTTGAGCTTCTGGTGGCTGCTGGCATTCCTCAGATGGTAGCTGCTTTACTCCATCTCTGCCTCTGAGGTTACACTACTTTCTCTTCTTATACTTGAAATCATCCCCTGCCTACCCACCCCTGACAAGGACATTTGTGACTGTATTTAAGTCCAGCCCCAATGATCCAAGATAATACCCCCATCTCAAGTCCTTAGTAACATTCTGTGAGGTCTTTGCCATATAAGGTAACCCAGGTTCTAGGGATTAGGAAATTATCAGTACACACTGGGTATGTGTGGGGTCCCAAGAACAAAGCGTCAAGGGGCAACTCTCCACTATCACCTTTTTTTATATTCAAAGTCTAGTTGATTTAGATGTAAAAACTGTTCCTATAGCTATGCTCTATTTCTATCTCAGCCCTGACACTATCCCCAAATTTGCTAAAGTCCCCAGTGAGGTTACTCAATCAAGATCAGGTGTCAATTACTACTAAGAACGATTTTATAAACTGTATAGATTCAAATGTTATAAACCTGTTTAGGTTTATAGAAGAAAATGATATAGAATCAATTTTGGCATAAAAATGTGGTTTATTGGAGGAAAAAAAGAAAGTGAATATGCTATTATACTTTTTTGTCTTTAAATTTCTAACATTAAAGGAGGAATTGGATATATAATAGTCAATCACTCCTTAACAACCTTTAAAAATAATTGAAATGTGCAATACAGTAATAAATGTTACATGCAGTGTAAGGTTTAAAATGTACTGACAATTTATGTTAGATAGTAAATGGGTGTACTTATTAATATCTTCTAAATGTGCATATTGTTTTAAAAATATTTTTATCATTTTTAAGTATTAAAGAAGACGAAGGGTACAATGTATTGTCCATAGGTCCTAGTATGTTAAGCTTTGTGCTCATGTCTAGAATTACATCAGTAACTATCAAATGTCATTGCTAACATCTATAAACAGCTCAACTCTTTGGTTATGAAAAAAGTTTTGCTTATTAACTCTGTAGGGAAGTGAATTAAGAGGTAGTGAAAATGAGAACATCTCTGATGAGATATGCTGATTAAGTTTCCCAAGCTTCACATCCTTTGCCCTACAATTTCTACTTATTTATACAGGAAGATTTTTGCATTGTTTATCAAGATTGAGTTTCTCCATTTCCCAGATGGATTTTGCTGGCTAAATGTGAACTGCCCCAATTCACCCCTTCTTGCCACAAGTCCCCGAAGGAAAGACGTTTCTGAAATATTTATAAAATCACTTTAAGGAGACAAATCATACTTTCTCACTGACTTAAGCTGTACTTTCAGAGATTTATTCTTAAGGAAAAAGTATAGTTCCAAGGAAAATTTATGCTTTTATCAAAAACATACTTTCTGAAAGAAGAAAAAACATTTCATGATACTTCATCCAAACTGGAAAAAAAACCCAAAGATGTGTGCTGGACAGCAGACAAGCTATCTCCAGATATCAAGAAGAGTGGGAGAAGATCCTGACCCCTAATCCTGAACTTCTTCATTGGAAATTGTCCATCCTAAACGATGGCTAGAGGAGAAATGCCAGCTGTACTATATCAGTCACAGGTCCTGTGTTCTAGACTTGTGGTTTGCTATCTCTACAAAGTAGGTTTTAGACTCATCCTTGAAAAATGTCAGAAATAAATATCCCAGAATATTTGTAGCATTTTAGACATGTATTTTTCATTAAATGTTCTCTAAATTGCATATTCAATGTCTAGTCCTTTACATATGGCTAGTAAACCACCAAAATACTGATTCTACACTAAGCTTGATAAGAAACTTGGTCTAGCTCCATTCCTGGAAACCAACTGAGACCGACAGGGAATCTGCAGAGCATCCTGGGGTCAGATGACCAGCCCATCCTAGGCTCCTTTGGCTCAGGGTGGAGTCCTCACCCCTAGGAATGTTAGTATTTGTACCCTCCCTTCTCAGAATAAATGAGGATTTGAGAACATGTATACACGCAAGGAAAGCCACAGTTTAAATGAGGTTTCAAATTTAACAGAACAAGAGCCCAAGCTGGTAAGTAAATCAAACTATCATTTTTCCAAAGTAAAATCAAAACAAAAAGTCCCTTAAGTAAGTAAGTGGGTGGGTCATGGAGCAGCCAACAGGTATTTTACTTCCATGTGAGTCTGACACGTTTCACTGAAGAAGCAGAACGCTTGGGACTCAAGGGACTGAGGCAATGAGAGCCATTTTTTTAACCTCCTGGGCAGGATTCAGGAAGAAAGGGGAAAAAACGACGTATCGAGATGAAGAGCAACATTTTACAAATTCAGTTCAGGGCTTATGAGCAGAGAAGCTGCTGAGGAAGAATCAGTCTGAGGTTATTACAGTGCATTGCAATTCAAACCATTTTAACGCGCAACCCCCCCCACCCCTGGAAAATTTGGGACAGATGCGGCAAAAAGACCATGCCAAGAGCTAGTCAAGCAAATGAAGCTAAGACATTCTAAAAACTGTACACCTGAGGTGGCTTGTTTACATTCTAATATTAAGCTTAATATTATGGGCGGGAGAAGATATTTGCTTTGAAATAATATAAAGCTACTGTTGTTATGTTGCTGTTATTAATTTTTTTTCTGACCTACAGT